ATGACAATAAGCAAAACACATCTTTCATTTCTGTGGGTCTGTATCTAAAAACAAAGGGAAAGTTGTTCATGAGCCTCAGAAATTAATGCATGTGAATACTTTCTGGCCTTGGAGCCAACTGAGTCTGCTCTTCAGGATGTCATCTAATAAAAGTTTGAATTCTGTGATCAAAGGCAGCACAGAATGCTGCATCAGCAAGAAGACTATTCCAAGGGGTCTGATGAAATCTGTGACAGAGAAGCAGAGAAACAGATACGATTCATCAGGGGTCTTGATTTTCAAGCTAGAATAACCTGCAAAAAACTAGCTCAGATGCCTTTTTTCTGACAGTAATAATTAGCAGAGGTGTTTGAAATAGGAGGGGCTCATTACCTGTGCCTGTAAACCATCTTCCTGCAGTACCACAAGGAAGTGAGGGTACTTGACTGACAGCTGCAGTGATGTTAGAGTGCTTTGTGTTTGCAAGAGGAAATGGAATTAGCAGCCCTTGAGATTACAGGCAGAAAGTGTGTACCAAGTGGGCGATATGTTCTGCACTGACTTCATGTGTCTGGGGATCAGCTTTGTGGAGTGTGTAAGAGTAATTATCTGGTTACAGCTGAGATGTATAGATGACAACTGGGATGATTCTTTGATCTTGGGTTTGCCACTCACAGCTAGAAATCTCATGACAATAAATTCTGATGAAGTTTCTAATACTCTGCCATAGCCACCATGCAGAGCCAAGCCGTCCTACAAGATGAGCACAAGAAAGCTATTAGACAGGTAAAAGACCTGGGAGGTGTTTAGAAGCTCAGCTCAGACTGGATTTGAAGCTGGAACTTTTCAGGACTTTTTTCATTGGCGTAGCTTTTACCATCGCAGGTTCCTGTCCTCTGCTTTCCCATTTGTCGTACGGCGCATGGAAAAAGGAGTGGGTGTCTGATTATCCCGTGTAAATTTGACTGTCTGCGTTGGTTTGCATTCCTTTTTGTGTGAAGCTGTTGTCAACAAAAACAATCTTTTCTGGCCTTGATTGCTTCTCTTCTGTCTGTTGATTTCTCCACCCACATTAATATCACCACCCGGCTTGCAGTGTCAGGAAGGGTTGGAGACAAAAGATGTTTATTGTCTCTGTTAGCTGCAGTGGGAGTGGGGCAACCAGCCAGAACTCGGTGCTTTGTTTTCCAGCAAACTTCGTGCTTTTGTGCCGTTCTTCAGAAAGCTGCACGTTGTGGTATTGAATGGTAGCCAGCGTGGCATTTGGAGCTTTGTTTGTGCTCGTAGAGCTGTAAAAAAAACAAAAAAAAACAAAAAAAAACAAACAACAAAAAAACCAAAAACTCAAAACCAAACAAAAACCAACAGCAACAACAGAATCTCTCTTTTTGGCTAATTTAAGAGGTGAATTACTTTGACAGAGCAAGATTTTGATTCTGTTGACTGAAAACATACCTGGCATTGCAGGTGATTTAAATGTGTGGACAGACTGCTGGCAACTCCAAATCTGTTAATTCAGATCCTAAGCTGATGTTTCCTTTTAACGATGCTCCTACATCCTTTAGGGAAGAAAAAAAAAAAAAAAAAAAACAAAAAAAAGAAGAAAAATCAATCATACCACATCTGCTTTCTTTGCAGACCAGGCATTAAGCTGCGTACTAGCTTTAGGAAGAGGGAAGGCTTTTAAGTCTTAGCTACATGTAGAAAACCATATCCTGCTGAGCACTGGAGCCCTGGGTGTGCCAGTATGTGTGACCGTAGAAAGTGAGAGTCTCCTGCAGACAGATATCGGCCTCGCTTTGCTGCTTAGATGGCTTTCTTGAGGATGTGGATGTGGGAGAAGGGAGCAGGGTGACGTGAGTCTGCAAGAACTGCGGCTTCATCAGTCCCACAGCGCTCCCTCCAGCAGGTAGGACTCCTTGAATGGAGGCATAGCCATCAAGCAGGTCAGCAGTTTCTTCCTTCAAAACACATTGACCAGGAACATAAATTGCTGGGATATATCCCACTGATGAGACCCTGTGAACATCCGCGGGCAGACCATGCGCAGTTCAGGTGCGATGTACTGTGAGGTAGTGATTGCTCATGTGAGAGCTGCTCACGAGAAACTGGACAAGGCTGAGGGTTGGCCAAGCAGTTGTTTTTACACTATTATTCTGCTAGGGCAAAGCAGACATGTTCTTGGTACTTTGGTCAAACATAGTTGCAAATCATCTTCCTCTTAAACTGGCATGCCTGTGCGAATGCGTTCTGATGTCTGCTCTGCTATACTGTTAAGAGAAATCTATTATTTAAAAGCTTTACATGTAAACCAGGACTGTTGTCACCGTGTTATTGATGACACAATTAATATGAATGCTAGAAGAGAGAAGTGATAAGGAATTATATTCCTTATCTGTACACGTGAAAATACCTTTATGGAGTGTTTGTATATGTTTATAAGGATACACTTATTTTTATGTGTACACACACACTCCGTCTCTGATGAGGCTGTGTTATTTTTCCTGTATAATTACCTGGATTCTCAGTATAGCGAAGTACTCACGTGAACAAAAACCCTGCTGTCAAAAAGGATTCTTATTGATGGCACAATTAATACGAATGCTAGAAGAGAGGAGTGGAATGATATTCCTTATCTGTACACGTGAAAATACCTTTATGGAGTGTTTGTATATGTTTATAAGGATACACTTATTTTTATGTGTACACACACACTCCGTCTCTGATGAGGCTGTGTTATTTTTCCTGTATAATTACCTGGATTCTCAGTATAGCGAAGTACTCACGTGAACAAAAACCCTGCTGTCAAAAAGGATTCTGTCAAAATTTCTTGTATGGAGGTACGTGCAGAAATCCTGCGTATTGCAGTAACAGTATTCCTGCCACATCCAAAGTGTCTGCACTGATCAGTGGATTACATGGGCACTGCACCTCTCTGTGCAGTTTGAGTGACCTGCAGGGAGCAGATTCAGTTTTCTCTGCACTAACTCTATGGATGAGTCTCAAAAGTTTTCAGGGATTGATCTGGTTGGTCTGACTTGCTCCAGAAATTCTCAGAAAACATTGAAATGCCTCAAAGTTCACTTAAATGTAATTCCTTGAAGAAAAAAAGGAGGTGTCAGGGTAGCTTGGAAGTTACTGCCTAGAAAGAATAATGTGATCAATATTAAGGACAAATCTAAAAGCACTGAGGGCCTGAGGAGAGATGTATAGAAATGATGGCAGTAGGAGTAAGGTGAAACAGAGCACGATAAAAAATAGACCACAGTAAAAGAATACAGCTGTAAATTTAACCAAAGCATAAAAACTTAAGAGTTAGCACAGACAGTTTGGGAGCATACTGGTTGGAGCAGTATGTGTTGACTTTAATTATTGTGTTGTTCTAATTACATAATGACACAGTAATTTAATTCTACCGTGATTTTTTGGCTTTCTCCTCAGGGGGCAGGACGCTCCGTCTGACACACACGAGGGCAGCAGATGAGGGTCGGTTCACTTGCGTGGTGACCAATGCTGCGGGAGAAGTGAGGAAGGATTTTTACCTTTCTGTTCTAGGTAAGTGCGTGGTGGTTTTTGTTACAGGAGAAGATAAGGGGGTCTACCATAAACTTTGCTGGTATTTTAAAAATTATTCTGCCAAAACTTATGTCCTTAGGTCAGAAAAAAGGTGCGTTTGATAACATGGTCATAAAATCAGGTTTGAAAGAGAAGTTACTTCTACGTGTGAAGTTGCTGTTTGTCTGGTTTTCAGATTTGAGGTTCTTCAGGCGTGATGTGGAATAACTGGCAGCTGTTTCTGTTCGTGGTTGGTTTGGGATTTTTTCCTGAGAAGAAACTGAATCAGTGTAACTGACTTCAGTTACGTTTGTTGGATAGAAGTCTGGGGGTGCTGACAGGTGGACTCCCATCCTCTCGTCACTCTCCCATGGGTGTGATGAGCAAGGTAGATTGGTTTATAGGTCATCTGCAAAGGTGGAGGGTTTGTGTTTTCCTGGTCAGGTTAGTTTTCAGCGAGATTGGCTCCCTGCTGGTTCAGTATTGGTGAAAGGAAGCTGACAAGAGTGAGTGGTCAGGGGAACGGTACTCGCTCTTTTGGCTCTGGCCTGAATTTGAACAGGCTTAAGTCAAAAGAGAACTACAGCCCCAGGAAACCATATGAAATTCCTCTGAATTTGTTGCATCTGATACTCAAATGCAGAAAGGTGCAACCCCATAGGATAATACTCATGGATTAAAAGGAGCATTATTGAGCAGCAGTGGATATTGTATGTATAGCTGAGTGCCATGGGGGTAATAATCTGTCGCAACAAAGATGTGAAGACAAAGCCAAGAGCAACAGAGAGATGGAATTGTTTTGGCAAAATAGAGATCTCTGATTCAGTAGAAACCTTTAGTCAGTAGTGCCTTTGGTATTGCAAAGCATGTAAACCAAATGTGGTAGGGGGTGATCCTGCTAACATACTTGGCAAGACTGCTATAGCCAGCTCTTTAGATGGCTATTTAGAACCTTTCGTATGTTATCTTGTCACATTAAAAATTGTCTTTTTCCCAGAAAATACCACTTTTTGATTTAGTAACTGTTACTTTTATCAACAATTACCAGGCCTGATGCAGGCTGTCCTATAGGATTACTGTATATGATTTTCCCCTAAGTTTCTTTTTTTGAAGATGCTGAGCACTACCAGCTTCCCTTGCCTTCGGTTGACTTACGCATATTCAGACTGTGAACGATAACGCCCATTCATGTCAGTTCATGTTTATTTGATGAGCTCATAGAACTGTAAGTCTGGTAGAAGGGAAGGGATGGATGAACACTGAAAAGCATTCATTGTTCTACTGTTTTCTTTGGAGGGTTTTAGTAGCAGGGTGTTCATGAGGGTTCTGGAAATCTCTCTTGCACAGGCTTTGTTTGCCTCGAAGAAAAATGCAGAGTGAAGCTGATTTCAAGTGGACTAAGTGGAAAATTCCCTTGTTCAGTCTTTGCTTCCCCCCTCCCTCTAATTTCTTTGTCTTTCTAGAGGAAAGTTACTGGAATGTGGCCTGGTAGTGACACAGAATGATCACTGGCTCACTGTAAATAGGAACTGTGCAGAGACATCCCGATGTTTCTTTAAACTGGTGTAGGAAGTGCGACAGGCGAGCCCGTTTGCATGGACAGCTTGGTGCAATAAGCATAATATTTATGTATTTGCAGAATGTTTGGTGTGGCTTTGTCATATTTCTGAAATTAATGTGTGTTGACATCTTACTGTATTATCTTGGGGCCAAAGCGATGAGTTGTTCTGTTTATGAACAGTGACTTTTGGCCTGACTTGGAAGTTCTGAATTTTAGGATTTTAGGTTATATTTTCCCCCATCTAATTCCTTCACTAGTTGATGCATCTTAGTCTCATTGCATTTGGACACTAGAACCCATGTGAAGGTCAACTTAGTGGTAGATCACAAGCTGCTGAATATATTTTACTGCTTCTCTATCTAGGCCTTTTGTCTAGGCTGGAAGTGTGAATTTTGTAGGATGATTAAAATATAGCATCTGGCTCCCTAGTCCCACACTTTTGTTACAAAATGCCAAATCTCTTGGAGATTTGGTGTTACTTTCTTATACCGATAGGCCTCCTTTTCAGCCTTTTATACTTCATGCCTACTTTTGATTTGTAGTGCCATTTTCTTTTGGCCTGCATCTACAAATGCCTCTACTTTGAAAGAAATAATCCATCAGAGCGGTCTGTGCGGTCCTGTTGACCAAGATTATTTGACAACATGTCATCAAGTGGTCATCCATACAGTAGAGTTTCCTTTGAGTTATTTATTGAGTTATTTATTTTAAGGATGTATTTTTGTCGCCAGTTTCCCCAGAGAAACACAGTTTGTGCCACAGCAAGGTGCCTTCAGACCTGTGTACTTTGTTCATCTGCCTGTATGGAACTGCTGTATTTGCATAAAACACGTGTGTGCCTTCACACAGCATCAGCTTGTTGGTAAGCTGTTGTACTGCTTGGAGCGGGCTGGTAAAGAAGAAGAAAACCACACATGGCATGTGAATAGACAGGTTAACTTTTTACTTTTAAATAAACCAGCTCTTTTCCTCGAGTTGTAGATCAATGCTTTCAATTACTCTTAGAAAACAAACAACTCTCAAACTGAAGCACATGGTTTTGAACAAATAAATCACTTGCTGCTTAATATAGGTGATAGAACTTGCTTAAAAACTTATAAAACCTGCTGGAGAATAAAATCAGACCTGGCCCCACTAACAAGCAGTCATAACCATAGCTCTTCTGATCACACTCAGAAACGTGGCCCTACAGACCATGCTCCTCAGCACCCTAGATTAGATATTGAGACAAATTTATTCACTGAAAGGACTATCAGGCACTGGAAGGGGCTGCCCAGGGAAGTGCTGGAGTCACCATCCCTGGAGGGATTTGAAAGATGGGTAGATGTGGTGCTTAGGGACGTGGTCTAGTGGTGAACAGGTTATGGTTGGACTTGATGATCTTAAAGGTCTTTTCCAACCAAATGATTCTATGATTTGTCTGGTTCTGAAGACGAAGTGAGGTGAGTACTTTATGAGTCTGTGATCGTCTCTTGCCTTTTTTGTGGACTTGTATGGTTAAAGGGTTATCTGTTGTCCAGGCCAGGTTAGCTCTATGCTATCTCACGTCTGGAGCAGTTTCTGGTAGATCTGAACCATTCAGATTGATGTGATTAAGGGAAGCATGTCTTTGTTGTGTTTAAATTGGTTGCAGGTAATATTTGCTGATGTTGTCGTGTTGTCTGTTTGCAGTGCCTCCAGGGATTGTGGGTGAAAATAAATTGGAAGATGTGAAGGTGAAAGAGAAGCACAGAGTTACCCTAACATGTGAAGTGATAGGTAAACATACACAATATAACTTACCTTTGCTGATCGAACTCATGGCGTTGATTGTACTTAATTCTGAGCAGCAGGTTTTTAATGGAATTTTCAGTTCAGTGGAATTTCTAAGGTTCAAATTTAACCATGGTGCTTATAGCAAGACTAAGCACTCTTCCTTGTAAAGGTTGTATAAAACGCAACTGAGAGGATAGTCACTGTGATATTCTCTAAAGTTCTCTGGAGTTTAAGAGGAGGTGTATATTACTTCAGGAGGTTAGAAGACTTTACAGTATGTATTCCAAAACATCTCCCTGAAGGAGATATTTTAAAAGGGCATTTGAAACTATTCTTCTGTTTTTCAGATATCTTGGTATGTCTTAGAGGCTGTGCAACAACTAATATTTGCCATTTTCTTTACTCTGTTAAGGGAACCCTGTACCACACATCACCTGGATGAAGGATGGGCAGTCTCTACCTGAGGATGAAAATCACAAGTTTCTGTCCAGTGGGCGTTTCCTGGAGATCACAAACGCTCAGGTCACTGACACAGGGAGATACACATGCATTGCATCCAATACAGCTGGAGATAAGAGCAAAAGTTACAGTCTTAATGTACTTGGTAAGACAGCTGGGCTGGCTGTTGCAAAGGAAAATAATAATCTCAGGAAAAAACAGATAATCACATTGGAATTTTGTAGTACTTTGCTTACAGAAATGCCTAAGTTGCCTGTCTAGGATCAAAATTTTTTATAGCTTAGTAATTGATAGATGATAGCAGTTCAATAGCAATAGCAGTTCTGTACTTTAGACATCACAGAGCTAGAATAGCAGGGCATGGTCTGCATGGAATGACCAGGACAGTACATTGGCTTACTGTGATTCAGGGAAGGAACAGCTGAGAAGCACTTCAGCTAAAAGCTGAGACCCATCTGCAGTTCTCTTTCTATTTTTTTTCCCCTGACAGTTACTGCATAACCAAATGCAAACAGTGGCAAGTTTGTTTTCCACATTCTCATTTCCTAGGCCGATGCCTTCTACCAGTCTGCCGCTCACAGGGTCATGGAGCAGTGGGTCTGCCAGCTGCCGCCCTGGAACGGGACGCTGGCTGCATGGGGACCCGCGTCCTGCAGAGGCAAAGGGGCTGACACGGGCTGACTGTTGACTTCAGGATGAAACACAAAACCAGATGAATGTTTGCTGGTTCTGGGTGGCAGTGTGCCCCGTAGGAATGCTCCCCAGCTATTTAAGGCTGCAACCAGATTCCTAGACTGAACAGGGAACAGAAAATTTGCTTTTCATAGATGGCCTTCCTCTGGTTAATGGTTTTGTTGTTCCTAGTGTCTCCAACCATTGTGGGTGTGGACAGCCATGGAAATGCAGAAGATGTCACTGTCATCCTCAACAGCCCGACATCGCTGGTTTGTGAGGCTTACTCGTATCCTCCAGCTACAATCACCTGGCTGAAGGATGGCAATCTTTTAGAATCAAACAGAAATATCCGCATTTTGCCAGGTAATTTTTTTTGCTGTTATTAAGAAATAATGTGACACTTTATTCTTTTATTGTTTGGTTTCCTGTTATGGATTTTTTGAAAAATCAAAGTCTAAATTTCTATTAAGTGCGAAGTTTGTACTTTTTTAGCACTTCCTATTCCCTTATTTTTACATGCTTCGCAATTAACTGATTATTTACTTGTATTGTATTCATATTCAGGTATTAATCCTCTTGTTCCATAAAGATAAGTGATGGTAAGCAAATCCATTGAAGTTAATAATGGATGTGAATAACTTGAAATTAAGTGTGGAAATTAGATGGAGAGAGGTAAACAACAACGTTAGTAAAAAGAATAACGTGACCTTTTTCTAGGTCATTAGTAGTTTGCCACTTTTAGTTTGTGGAGCAATGCTTACCTAGCACATCTGTGGAGGTGGAAAACAGGAAGAGACTTCACTGGTAACACTGAAGTCATGTAGGTGAGCGAGTACTTGAGCACTGTTAACTGCAGGCGTTCAGAGGAGAAGGAGTCAGTGTTGTTAGTGAGGAATTGAATTACGACATGGGGGGATAATTTCTAGGAATGCAGTCTGAAAAGAACCGCAGCCAGATTAAACAGTGACTCGTCTCAGAGAATGCAGACAATGTAAATCATAAGTAAACAGGATACTATGGGAAGAAAATTGATGTCAAAGTCGTACAGGCCACCTGAAGCCTTAAATCCTACTGATTCATTCATGTTTGCATTTCTTCTCACGTTGTGGCTGTTGCTTGTGTCCATTCTCCAGAGGGAGTGAAGGGCCTCTTGCACTGAAGCAGAAAGGCAGTTCCAAGGCTCACATCCACCCCTTCTTTTGCTTAGGCTTCCTGACTATGCCTCCTTTCCCTCTTTCTGTGAATGAAGTGTAGAACCCCAAATCACCTTTCCCTATCTAAATACCTTAAGAAGTTTCTTGTACAGAACTATGGTAACAAATTTCCCAAGAATCTGTAAGCAACAGGAGTTGTGATCCAGAGCAGTCCTGCAAATTATTCACTCATTTATTACACAGCGTACATGGTGGTAAGCAATAAGTTTTCCATGCTCATCTGAGGGCAGAATTTGGACCTAAGGGCTGAAAATATGCTGCAGAAACTATTGAAATTGTTGGGAAACAAGAGTATAGCGTAGATGCTCTTAAAAGATGGTGTCTTTTTGACAGGTGGTCGAACCCTGCAGATTCTAAATGCACAGGAGGACAACGCTGGAAGATACACCTGTATAGCCACAAATGAGGCCGGAGAGACTTTGAAACACTATGAAGTGAAAGTCTACAGTAGGGAAATACTTTCGATTTTTTTGCTGTTATTCTCCCATATTTCCCCTTTGCAGTGTTACCTATTTTGATGAGTACAAGGAATTTCTGATAGTAGTTTTGTGTAGCAAACATCTGCATTAGCTCATGGCATTGCTTGAGGAAACACACTAGAGAAGTTTGCTGTTGCGCCCTTCACAAATGCTGTGGCAGGGCTAAAAATCTTTGTGCCACCTAGGGGAATACATTTAAGAAACACCGAACTCCGCTTTTTTCTGAAATGCTTTTTTTGGTAATGATTTTCAAATCAGATGAGTGCAGCCCAATGGGAGAGAGAAGGAGAGAATTTTGTGAGCAAAGAAACTTTTAGAAAAGAAGGATGGGAGGGGAGCCATAACTTCTGATGGGAAACATTCTGGAGTAAGGTAAACCAAGAGGATACTGTTCTTATATCCTTCCATAAAACACCATATGCACAAAAGCTTTCCCATTCCAGGCTTCCTGTCAGCACATTGTCCTTTGAGCATCTGTGCCTAATACTCGATTTTAATGCTCAAACTCTTCATTATGGGTTCAGTCAAGCATGATTTTTCATCTTTTTTTTTATTATTTATTTCCTAGTGGGAATCGGTGTTTTGTTTGCTCCCTCACAGTAATCATGCTGTTATTCTAATTACACTAAGTCCCTAATAAGGCCCCATTGGATTTGGAATAATGAGAAGATGACAAAAGAGATCATTATTGAAGTGTGGCAACATAAAGCCCCCCCACCTCTGAATGCCATTGCAACTGTCAGTTGTTATGGTACTGGCAGCATTAGGGAGAATTTAAAATTTCCCATCAAAAAAAAGAATGGAAAATGCTTTGGAAGCATTTAAAATAATTTAAAAGATATTATGAGAGCAGGGTGGGGGTTAGGTTAAGAATATTGAAATGTTTTCATTCTGATTCAGAAGGAAATGAGATTTTGCAACACTGGGATTTCAGTGGAATGGAAATGTTGAATTTTGACCAGCTTCTCTGAGTGAAGACTGCAGTTCAAACATTTGTTTCTGAGAACATTAGCTTCCATTAAAGTGCTTTTTAATGACTGCAGTACACTGAACTTGGTAGAATTCAAGCCAAACACATAATAAAGTGCTATAGCTAGGTAAGGCTGTGGTCAGGTTTGCATATCTAAAACTGTTGAATACAGTTTCGTGTATGTATTTTATGTTACACATATCCTAAAAATAGTTTAAAATGCATAGCTGAATTTTTATTCATAAATATCTATTGAGAAGAGGCAGATTATGGGGGAACGCACTTGCTTTCCCTGAGGTTGTAATCCAGGTTTTCACTTTGTCTAGTTAGTTTTGAAATGCTGTGGAAGACAGTAAGTCATGAAAGTCCCTCTCGCTGCCTTTGGTTTTGTACAGTTCCACCCACCATTAACAAAGGGGATATCTCAGGGATGGGCCTCTCCCCTAAAGAAGTGAAGATCAAAGTAAACCGCAGCCTTATTCTGGAGTGTGAAGCTCACGCCGTTCCTGCTGCTGCCATCAGCTGGTACAAGGATGGACAGGCCAGTCACAAACTTCATTCTTTCTAATGGGTGGATTTTGTACAGAAACAATCATGTTCAGTAGTGTTCATGAACATTCCCGCAGCGGAACAGGCTCACGCTGCTGAAGTATTCCCACCGTCCTGCTGGCAGAGTCACCCCTCACGCACCTTGGGGCGTTTGCTGTTGGCCAGGCCTCCACAGCCTGACACCCTTGCTTGGTTGTGGGTGCTTGGCAGTGCCACTGAGACGTCACTGCTGGAGTTTTGTGGGCCTGCCCCTGGCGAGTGCTTTGGAAGGGGAGGGCCCTGCCGAGCAGTAGCATCCCATGGTGTGAGCACGTGTCTCTTGGCCATTGTGTAAAGTCCCCAAAGGCCCTGGTGTAGAATGGCCCCATGCTTGGTTCCCCGAAGTGCTGCCCTAGCAGAAGTTGCCGAGAGCTGCTCACTTGGCTCTGGCAGAACTCACAAAGCCACAAAAGCATCTGGATCCTCTGCAGGGGAGCAATGAGGCGTGGTTCCTGCCACACGCTGTCTTCACAGCGTTGGGCTGGAGGAGAAGCAGTTCGGAAGGGTAGTGCCACAGAGCCAGACTGATGTGCAGTCTGCTGGGGGCTGGCTATAGATTAAAAAGAAACGTTCTTTATTTCTTCTGTAAGGAGAATATAATCTCTTCCTTTAGCTGTTCATGGTAGGGCACTCCTCATGTGGCAGACTGCTGTGCCTCTGCAGCTGGACCAGCTCTTCTTGGATTTGCTGAGCGTGCAGGAGCAGCCTGGAGTCACAGCAGGACTGTGGGTTAGCCCTCCCTCTGTTTCCAGCATGTGCTGTGATTCTAGGATCTCCTGGGCATACTGATTGTACTGCCAGTGGAAAGTGATGCTGGGGGGAGCTGAGAGGTTCCCCAAAGAAAGACTGTAGCTGTAAGCAGCTTGCTGCCACTGCCAGAGCAGCAGCTTTTCCTTAGGTTGGCCCTGGGTAAATGGCTCTCGCACACATCCATGGGCTAAATTAGTTGTCCCCTGCAGGATAGGAGTTCAGTGCTCGCTCCCATATGGATTCCATTTTCGACACTGAGAGATACAAGTTGTGTTAGTGTAGTCTCTACTGTCAGGAGTGATGTAAATTCTGGAGACAATAACGTCTAGTCCGGTGTATCTCTCTGCTACTGCTGCATCCATTTTATATTCACACTGTGTCCTTGCTGGGCAGCAGAGCCTAGTGGTTGTGTGAGTTAGAGTTCAACCTACAGAAAACTGATAGTTTTACGTGTGTAGGTTTGCCATCAGCTCATCAATTTGGCCAGTGAGTCCAGGGCTTGAATCAGCCTGATGTAATCAGATGTCACGAGAGCCCATGCCTGATTGGAATGGCACTGCTCCTTTCAGCTGGGGGCTGGAGTGGTGTAAAACCACATCCTCTTAGGAGACCAGCTACCAAGACCAGAAAGGTGAAGATGCAGGGTTTCTGACAACCATGGAAAGAAAACTGTCTCCAGGAACTTGGGGCTTGGTCAGGTTTACTCAGGGAGGAAAAGCTTTTGGTGTGAGGGAAGGGAGGAGCAGATGAGAGGAGGGCTGGGCTGCACCACCTGTGGCCAAGGCTGCCATCCCAGGAACGCTGGGCTTAGCACTGTGTCCTTCGTGGTGACCCTCAGTAATTTGGTGTCCTAAGCAACTGTGTGCTTTGCATAGATTAAAAGTGGGCCTTGTTGAAAGTGTTAACTAAAATTGAAGGATGTTTTGTTGGTAGTGGTATCAAAGCAGAGGAAATACCAAAATATGCTCTTCCTCCCAGTATACTGCCTTAGGAAAGCTTTGAAACAACCTGGATTTGACCAGAAGAGAGATGACATTAAGTTATCTCCACAAATGTGGCTATTTCGGGTGCATTGATTTTCATGTCAAACTGCATTACAGCCACTGAAGGCAGATGATCACGTCGTCATCCAGGCTGGTGGCCGTACTCTGCAGATTAAGGAGGTTCAGGTATCAGACACCGGTCGTTACACTTGTCTGGCATCCAACATTGCTGGAGAGGATGAAGTTGAGTTTGATGTAAATATCCAAGGTAAACTGAGTTCAGATAATAAAATTCTTCTGGTAGCCTTCTTTTCTAATGTTGTGGGATGTTGGAGTTCTTTTTAGTTTTGTATTCTTTACAGCTGCTTGGTCTAATGGAGTGCTGTTGTATTTTGTGTGATTTTTATTTCATATATATTTTACTCATCTTTAAGAAGTACAGTATCTGATTATTTCATGTTTTGTGACATAGGCAGTGTTTCTGAAGTCAGTGGAATGACACAGTAACTCTGATCTTTCTCTAAACTCTCTGAAAAGGTTTTAATTTAGCTCGAACTGGGACATCGTATTTTATTTATTTTTATTGAGTAAGTACTTACAGGCACCAGACTTAAGTGTCCTTTTGGCCTATACGCTGCGTGTAAATACCAGAAAACAATAATCAGTAATTTCTGAAAATTTAGACAAGATTAGAACTCGAGTAAAACCAGGTAGCTTGCGATTTCAGTATTATTGTTGATTGATGCCGTTGGTGTTTTGTTATCAGGTCTTCTTACACTGTTACTTACTAGCCCTCAAAAAATACTCAGTAGATTGCGCAATGGTTCATTCTGATGAAAACAACTGGAATTTTCCTGACTACTCTAAACTAAGAGGAGGGGTTAATTTAATAAAATTAATTTTATTGCTGCTCTTTAACAATTACATCATCTTTTCGTTTCTTGACTTTAAAACTAGCCATTTCTGCTGTAAAATCCTAACTTTTGTCCCTCCTTGACTGTAGTTCCTCCTAGTTTCCAAAAGCCCTACAAGGACTGGGAGGCGGGTAACACGGTCGATACAGGACGAGGTGGAGAGAGTAAAGATGTGATTGTCAACAATCCCCTCTCACTGCACTGCGAGACCAATGCTGTTCCTCCACCAGTGCTTACGTGGTACAAAGACGGCTTTCCTCTGAGCTCCAGTGATAAAGTATTAATATTACCAGGTGAGTATTAAAATGTCACCCTCTGACCTTAAGAAATGGCGTTAGTGCTAGCATGTGTGTAGTCATAAACTTTTCCCCTTCAAAACACTGCATCAGTGTTCTTTTCAGGCTTTCTTGACTGGAAATGTTTCTCTCCAGTTCCTGAACTTAAGCTGTTTCATTCTTTCATTTAAAAAGCAGTCCCTGAAATGGTATGGATTTAACTTTCTTATGATGTGTTGAAAAATAAAATAATAATATCTTCTCTCTAATGCGTTCCTAATTTATTTCCTTATTAAGTTTTGGGGTTGTTTTAGGGTTTTTTTGGGTTTTTTTGTTGTTTTGGCAGAATCATAATTGGAATAGAAAAGTCTCTTAATGAGAGAGTGAGGCATGGGAAGAATGTTTCCAGCAGAAAAAGGGCCATGAGCTCCTGCTTGACCTCGCATGGGAAAGGGAAAGA